CAAACAAACACACTCACATTCACACCTACGGACAATTTAGAATCACCAATTAACCTCAACATGTTTTTGGACTGTGTGGGAGGAAGCTGGAGAACCCGGAGAGAAGCCACACTGCACGGAGAGAACCTGGAGACTCCATGCAGGAAGATCCCGGGTGTCCTCACCGGGACACGAACTGGTGATCTTCTTGCTGAGAGGTAACGGTGCTAACCACTGTTACACCTTGCAGTCCTCACTAACTTATAATTTAGCAAATTTTTATTTATTATTACTTTTTTCAGTTTCTAGTTATTTGAGTGACGATTGTGAATTTTGCCTTTTCTTTAATGGAAGAGTATGAATACATTTGAGGATGACTGTATATGTAGGGTGGCTTGACCTGACTTTCCTCCACTGCTGCCCCACTCACCGTGACGCTATCTATCTTGAAGAGGGCCAGAGCTGCAGGTGACGTATCCGGGTCGAAGCGGTAAGTCAGCTGGTTCAAGTTGTCTGCAGACTGGGCCTGCACCTGAACCACCTCTGTCCCCGTCGCGATGTTCTCGTGAAGCGAAGCCTCATAGCCAGCAGAGAAAAAGGCCACGGCCTCATCCAGCTCATTCAACAACGTAACATAGACGCTGCAGAAGCCCTGGTGGAACGGTGGAGCCTGGTCAGTGGCCGAGACGTTCATGAGATAGCTGGTCTTGGTCTCATAGTCCAGGTGGTCCACAGTGGTAACCAGACCAGTGCTCACGTCCACCTCAAACTTGCGGTCGGAGCCAGATACAAGGGCGTAGGCAACAGCTCCACCATCGCCTGAACAGGAAGACAGAGAGGTCGGTAAGGAAATGACTACGATTTCTATTCAAAAATTGCCCTCATAAACTTCTGTGAGAGTGAAAGATAATTAGTAGGCTCTTCAACTAAAAACTTCGCAACAAGTTTATAATGAAACCATTGTTACAACAAGAAAACTAGCAACTTGTGTGAGTTATTTAACACTGTTTGTTAGTGTTGCTTTGTTGTGTTTATATCAGTTTCAGGCCTGCTCTAATGTTTTGGAAAAAGTGTGTCACAGCCCCAGATGACTCATAAGGTGTCTAAGCAACACTTGACACCACGGGAAGTGAATAGAGGAAGTTTGTACTGTGAGGCAGAAGTAAAAATTTAAATGCCAGCTGCAGTGTTTGCAATCTTTGTTGCATATCAGGGTGACATAACATGGTAAAAAAAACACACAAGCGATTTGATATTACTCTTTGGAAAAGCACCCACTAGTGTCAGATCTGATGATCTACAAACGTGTGTTAGTGCCAGTAAACAAGTAATTTGTGATGATGTCTAAAACACAGTCTAAAAGCTGAGGCTCTGTTCAGAGTTTGGGATTCAAATCACCTGTAAGAAGCGCAACCTTTTCACTAATTCTTTTCCTAACTGTATCTGCAAACCTGTTGAGGTGTATGTCAGTAAGTTAGTTAGTAGTAATCTCACTGAATGAAGTGGTGCAGGTATAGCAGGGCGAACTATATGCATCACGTTGCCACAGGAACCTGTGTGCATAAATATGTAATTATGTTTGGTCCTGATTTGCTGCCAAGTCCATTTTACACTGCTGGTACTGCAGCTAATAAAACCTAGATTAGAAAATTGATTAATCTATTGGTGTATCACACAGAATATTCAACGAATGACAACCATTTCACTTTGATTTTTCCAGAGCACACAATGATTTCTACTTATGCTGACACGTTTGAATACATGAAGTTTAAAGTTTGAGAGCTTTAAAGTGCAGCTGTCACAGTAGAAATAAGTGGCAGGCATTGAGTGCTAAAATAAAGTGGTAAAATAAATATATCTTATACGTTTAACAAATTTCTGCAAGCATTTCTCTCATGCATCATTTGCAGTTGTTTTGACAGGAACACATCTCTATATATTTACTGCTCTGACTAAAGTAGGCGGTATGTTATCAGTCTATTTTGGGTGAAAGAAGAGTCAAATAAAAAACATCCCCTTTTATGGGAGTGCACATACAGCCTGATGAACACAACCTGGTTAACAGAGAAAATTGATTACCAGTATCATGAAGCCCATTATCTCTGACGGTTTGACGTTTTGTTAAGTCAGCTTACCTGGTTGTGTTGAATTTGTTTTGTAGTACACCCCACTGATATCAAAGGTTGGACAACAAGACCTAAAATCAAACTTCAGTCCACTTACCAGTGTCGGGGTCTGTGGCTCTGACTACAATCACAGAGGTGCCAATGCCAGCGGTCTCCCTCAGGCCCAGACGGTTGTACTGTTGCTGGGTGAACACTGGCACCTCATCGTTGGCATCGTCAACATATATGATCACCTGCAGGAGAGTAATATGCATATTAACTTGCAGTCTCTGGGAAACAGCTCAGTCATTTTATGAGCTCTTTAAGAATGAGATCACAGATGTTAATATGGTTTAAATATGTTTCCCACTTGAGGGCCTGGATCCCTAAAGTCCACATTTGTTGACAAAATATGTAACATTGGGTCAATGAGACTTTTAAAATGTCAGCATCATGTTACATGATAAAAAATGAATAAATTACTTTTCCATAAGCTACGCAACACATTTTGCATCAAGCACTGGGCTCAAACTTACTTGTGCTACAGCATTTTCACTTGCTCCATCCACCCCCCTCCTCTTTCTCACCCTCACAGAGCTCCTCATGCTGCCCTCGTCACTGTTGTAGGCCTCCACTTCCAACATATGCGAGCTGCTGGTTTCTCTGTCCAGAGCCCTGAGGCCTCTTGTCACCAGCCCGGTCTGTCTGTCTATGCTGAACAGATTGTTGCTATTCCCTGCATGCATGCATTCACAAACACAAGGACACAAACAGATAGAGACGAGATAGAGGCAGGGTAAGTGAGACAGGGCAGGAGACTTCAGCAAAAATATACATTTTAGCAAAGTATTTAATCAAGTCTTCAGGTTCAGATGATTAAGCTATAGGCATTTGCCAAGTGGGTGAGTTAATTTCACTTATTAACTTGTGAAATAACTTGTTTAAAGATCCTGCCATTACTGGTATCTTCACTCTTTGGCAAGTTCTGTCTCATGCACACAGTATTTCTAGACAAGAGCCAGTGCATTGAAAACAAGAGGAGTTATCAAGCGTCCGTATCCTGAGAATTTTGCCACTAAAATTTGAACCATTCAGTTTAAGTCTTTTTGTCATTTGCAGCAATTTTGAACTAGATTACAAAGCTGCCACCAGATAGTAAAGGTTTCGTTTTGTGCATATTCAGTGCATTGTTTATAAGTCATGTGTGAAAGCCATCTGGGAGGAAAAAAAATGAAAGGACAGCAGCACTTACCAGTGAGGATCCTGTACAGAACTCGCCCATTCTCTCCCTGGTCTGCATCTGTAGCTTGAACCTGTACCAACAAATACAACAAGCAAGTCGGTATGTTCTTACAAAAACCTACAAAAGAAAAATGAAACACTAAAAAATGCAAAACAATATGTAAATGCAAACCAGCTGGCTATGAAAAAGGAAACAGCAATGCCAATGTTTTCTCCTCACAACTGGTGCTGGCAAGATGTGACAACTTTTGTCTTTTATGCAGACTAGTATCTCAAATATATGCAAGAGCTATCATAATTCATTATTCATATCTATCATTATGAGAGACTTGAGCTGTTGGATTTGGTTTCCAGTAATGTTCAGTGTTGCACTGGTGCTTTGTGCAGAAGAGCTACTTGATAATCAGTGCATTTCATATGCATTTTTTTTTTTTTACTGATTATATGTCTTTGGTATACTTTCTAATTCACCAAACATCCCTTGGTGCTCACTGTCTTGTTGCCACAACAACCCCATCATAGCTTGGCAGCCAGAAGCTCTCTCTCTCTTTCTGGTACAGGCAAACAGAAGCAGCCAAAAACCCAAACCCAGCAGAGACAGCACGACTCCACAGCGTACACAGATAAATAGTGGAGCATGCTGGGCTGCTGGTGAATGGGCCATGTCATAAGACTGACTTCTGAATCCAGAGAGGCACACAGCTGCTGGCACTGGATGAGGCTGACTTCATGTCACACCCTGCCTCTCTGTGGATGTGTCAGAATCTGTGGAGGTGCCCACAAAGTGCATATTCAATTGCATACAGAGACACACACACAGACACACAGACTCAAGACACTCCAGCGCATGTATGTGCGCACAGGTACGCACAAATGCAGACGCACACAGTCTCGCAGTCTGTGTCTTGCCCTGTATGTCCTCCTTTGCTCTCTCTCACTCCCTCTGTGAGGAGGGGCCCAACTTCAGTCTCATTAGCTTTATAAAGAGACGTGGAGAGGAGAGGAGAAAGAGGAGGAGAGGGGAGGGGGAGACGGGAGGAAAAGGAGGCTGGGGGGTCAGATTGGTGAGTGATGAATAGGGTATTACACAGTGGAATGCACCACTTTGGCCATAAAAGGGGGTGTATAAAATGCAAGGCTATGTCGCAGAGCCAGATGTTGTAAGTGTAATCACGTGGAGTGCAAACACTGGGAGATGTTTCACTAAGCTGATGAGAAAACATACTTCTATCTTTGACTTTTTAGCGTTGAACTATAGCAGTGTGATATCACCTGTGATGCTGTTACCCACATTTTACCCTCTTTTCCCTCTTGTTGCCCTCTTCCTCCCCAGTGTTTCCCCCTCTGTTTCTGGGAAAGAAGCAGTTTAAGGGGGGAAAAACAAGTGCGTGGAGCCACGAAACAGGTCTGACCTCAGTTACTGGAACTAAGGAAAGTGCTATTTTAAAGAATCTCCAAAGTGTGGGTGTGAGTACATATTCTTAAAGGGGTTTATTCTGAATTACTGAAGCTTAAAAATGAAGAAAATGTGTTAAATGCTTTGGAGTCTAAAGGTAAACATTGTACAAACTCTTTCAAAGATTGAGGTTGCAAGTTTTTTAATTATCTTAACAATGTCTCTCACAACCAGTGTTCTATATCCGCTGAAGAGTCTCACTTTGGAATGAAACTTCTAAAAGTCTGTATTTTAACATGTGAGTTGCCAGGCATGTGCTTGAGCGCCTGAACATTGTCTATAGGAGAATGCGGAGTATGCTGTATGAATTTGGTATAGCAGGGTTGTGTCTTACCTGGAATGTGAACTTGAATATTAGCAAACAGGTGCTGCACAGCTGTCACATCTAACTCTGTATTTCCCACTCATTTTTGCAGAGAAGATATGCAAAAAACACCATAAATCAGACAGCAATCAAGAAGCGAAAAACATTTCGCAAGTATGTTTCTAAGAAATGACTTGCAACTTTGGGAGTGCACAACTGGTCAAAGTTTGAAAATGTGAATAGATAGATGCGGTGTGCTTGCAAAGAAGTTAAGAATGAGTTTCACTGTTTCAAAACTAGCTGAGCAGTCAGATCTGCAGGAGCAACAACGTGGGGTGAAAGAGAGGGAGAGTACCTTACAGCTAAGCTGCCAAGCTTAAGAACAGCGTGCCTAATCAAGAATATGTGCAGGCTACAGTATGTGTGGGTGAGAAAGAAAGTTTGTGTTTGAATAGGCATGTGGGTGTGTGTGTGCTGTATGTGCTTGGAGGCGCTGACTAATGAACTGACTCTCTAACGAGCCATCCTGCTCCACTGGCCTTTTCACAGCTTTCCTGGCATTTGGTCTTAAAAATAATTTCACGTCCCAATGTGTTTCCCTTAAACCGATAAGCCATGCTTTGTCTCCGCTGAATTAAGGACGATGACATTTACAAATGTTACTATGCTGAAGATGGGGGTGCGCAGAATGAGAGGTGGTGGGGGGGATAATTGGAGACCGGGGTAGAAGAGGTGGGTGCCTTGCATTTTACAAGGGGCATTTTAATAAACCCAATTTGTTCTACATTGAAGAAAGCCTGTCAAGCATTGACTGTTTTGTAGTCCTTGATTTAATAGCTACATAATTGTCGCAAATGCCAAACACTCACCGCATCTGCGTGTGCATGCAGGCGTTTCTATGCATATCTGCGCACATGTGTGTATGTGTATTGTAAGCCCTTGAGTGTATGATTATAATAAAGTGAAAATATGAAAATAAACCTACTCAGCTTGGTTAGACTTGGCTAGCGAGGCAAAACAGCACATCAAGAGAGCTGCTGTGGCACTTTGGTGCACACATTCGCACTCTCAAACACACAATCTGACACAAAACTCCTAACCAACGCTGCTTTCTTCATCCAGGGTCGAGGCAACATGAACACCACCAATCCAGGCTCCAACTTCACTTTTAACACAGAAAGCATCGCTCTGTCCAGCCTGACGACCACAGGTGTCCCCACTCCCACCATCCCACAGCCACCGTCCTATTCTTCAGACATCCATGACCCAGAATTCACCATCATGGTGGTGCTGGGCTTGTCATTGCTGCTGGCGGGGGTAGCAGCCTTCCTGGCAGTTTGCCGACCCTCTGAGCAGGATGGGGACTCTGAGGCGAGCTGTGGCCTGGGAGAGAGCTTGACTCGGGGAAGAGGCTTATCCAGTGAGCCCCAGCTAAAGGTGTGGAAGAGACTGGGCTCATATCGGCGTTCGTACAACCTCTCGTTCAGACGACCGCCTCATCGCAGGCCGCATGAGAGTACACATGCCATGCAGTCTCCAGCCCGACAGACGCCGCAGCCAGAGGCCAGCGTGGAGTCCCACCTCACTATGCCTTGTCTATTTGACTATGTTACTGAAATCTGACAGGCTGATGAGAGAAGACTGACTGTTCCCCAGACGTGACACGCTGGTTTTTTATGCTTGGTGCTGCGAACATTACGAATAAGGAGAGGGCATTTCTTAGTATTTGTTTTAACATTCTGTGAATTGCAGGTGGATGAGGTTTGCTGCAAAATTGTTAAAAGAAAGCAGCAGGCGAGCAGATTTTTCTAAATTGATCAGTTTATCCTTTGCAGCAGGTAGAACTGTAGCACTGATTGTCTTTTCAATTGCAGTACAGATGCAAATGATTTAATCCATTTATGACTCCGTTTGATTACAGTGAACACATAGTCAACATAAACACATACTAGTCTAAACAGTGACCTAAGCCTCTACGGACACCATCACAGTTTAATCTCTATAATACTGTGAAAATGAGTTTTTAATTTTCACCAATCACATTCAAAGTCTGGGGACAAACATCTTTCCTCTGCATCACACTGCTAATTGCTCTGATGAAGTAAAACCCCATCCATCTGGCAATTCATGTACATTAAGACAAACACAAGGAATTATTATTTTGTATGATTTCATGCAAAAACACAGTGGGTTCTCAGTACTGCTGAGACTAATGCGAGCTGAGCCAAAAAAATGTTTTAAAAAAGAGATCGATTTGTAACAGACTGAATGTGTTTAAAAAATAAAAATAAAATAAATAAAATGACTTTTAAGTTTGCTGAAAGTGCTGTTTGTTTGGACATATGCTTCGCAGAGTGTGTGTGTGTTTTCTACCTGAAGGATGCTTGTTCCTCGGGGCACACTTTCCAGTATGCTGGTCTCATAGCTGTTTTGGAGGAAGATAGGTCTGTTGTCATTAACATCCTGCACCTCAACAAATACAGTGGCTGTGCCTGTCCTTCGGCTGCCCGCTGGACCGTTGTCTATACACAGAAACAGACATTCACAAATGCATCAGTTGCAATCAGTCAGGGTAAAGCTGATTTTATGGCTGGCATCAGGACAACAGAAATAAACACAGTGGTTGTTTGATGGCTGCACCACAGGCTAAAGCCATGAGTTAAAAAATAATCTGAAGCATAACAGTACAACGTATATACAAAATGGACTGGGTCTTTATTATTATTTTACATTAAATTATCTATTAATCTTGAAGAAATAAAGCAGAATTTAAATGTTATAAAGATGTCAGACTGGAATATTGTTGGCTCATCAAATCTTAGGTCATTTTCAGCGGTTGGTGAATGAGGACAATGTGTGCGATTCTGCTCTCTTGCACAGTTTTACATTATATCAGCCTCTTCTCCCCTCGTTTGTGTCTCTGGCCCCCTCAGCAGATAAGCTACCCTGACTCAATGATTTCCAAAACAGGAAAACCTCAGAGTTTTGTTCTTTTTTTTTTCAAACAGGAACAAAGGCAGTTGAGCAATAGTCTGAAATCACTGCAGATGTGCAAGCATCGGGGTTTTTTTTTTTTTTTCATCATTTTCACACATAAGGAGGAAGGCGAGGCTTTGAAGGTGACAAAATGAGCACGAAAACATACTGTTATAACAAACATAAATACAAACTTTGTAAAATCAGAAAGATTAAAAAAAAAAAAAAAAAAAAGAATTTCTTGTAAAAGAGTTGAATTCATGACAGACCGATAGCCTCTACGATCAGCGTGTAGGCCGCCTGGGTCTCCCTGTCCAGGCCAACCACTGTCCGAACAATCCCATCTCTGAAGCCCACACTGAATTTACCATCTTGATTACCACCTAAAAATACAAAACACAAAAATGTCCAAATTAATTTACAGTACATTAATAAAACATATCCATTCAGCGACATATAGTACAGCTATATACTAAAACGAGCATGCAAGAGGAGCTCACCTCATACACAAACTCACACAGAGATGGATGGATGGAAGGTAGTGAAGGTGCATGTAGTCCCCGCAACTGTACGACACCGTAACCCACAAACACACAAAAAAAACACCTCCCGCTGTGACCTCTGACCTGTGATGAAGTAGCTAAGTTCAGCGTTGAGACCAGCGTCGTTGTCAGAGCAGCTGAGGCGCACTACAATGTGGTCTCTAGGGACACTCTCCTTCAGGGAAACATTGTACACGTCAGGGTTGAAGGTGGGCGTCTCATCATTTACATCCAGAACTGACGCACGCACACAAACACACAGACAGAAAGACATGAGGACACACAGATAGATGCACATGGGGACAAATAAGGCAGCAGGGTGGTGCAGTGAGTAGAAAAACTGTTAAACGGGGGACTAACAAAACATCTTCCGTTTTAGTTCTTTCTTGTTCAGGTCTGGTGTTCTATGACTGTTTCCTCTGACTTATCTGATTCATCTGGGAAATTCCAGAAAAGCTTATTAATTTTTTCCCAATTCTCTTCTGTCTTGCCAAGAAGCACTCAGACCATTTGTCTCTGTTTAGGGTTTTTCCCATCCCTCCAGCAGGTGGTAGCATTTTTCTGAGCAGTTTCCTGAGAAGTCAGTAGTTTTCCCACCTGCCATAATGAACTAACTCTTCATTATTTCAAAATCCAATTATCCTGTGGCTTGGAACTTTCACATTTGGGGGAAATTCAGAGCGAAATAAAACCCTAAATCTCTCACCTGTCACAGTGAGGGTTGAAGTAGAGGTGCGAGGGAACCTTCCTGCATCATATGCAATAATCCTTAAATGGTACTGCCCGATCTGCTCACGGTCCAGGACTGCCGTGGAGGTGAGAATGCCGGTGGAGGTGTTCAGGGAGAAGTCGAGGCGAGGCATGCCCACTTGTAATGCCATTGTAATCAAACCATTCTTATCCTCATCTGGGTCTTCTACCTGGACCTAGAAAAGAAAGAGGAACATGGAATAAAGACAAGTAAAAATTAAAAGAGAGAATAAAAATGGACAGTTATTAAAAGGGTAAAATATAGCAAAAAGCAAAAACTGTGTTAAAATGATTTTACATTTTAACTGGCTAAAAATGATTTTGAACTATTGGCAGGAAGCTATTTGGCAGTCAGAAAACACTAATGTACAATGTGCCTTGTTTTCATTTATTGTGCCTAAATAATATTTGTTCCGAAATATTTCATGAAAACAAGCCTTTTTTGAAGGCTTGGTAGCAATAGTAGTAGATACAGTGATTGCTCCATGTTATAAATTTCAGAAAATATGTACTCTAAAAATCTTAAAATATTTTTTAAATCTCATGCATAAATGAACACAGTGTCATATTTTACCCTGAAAAACGAGGATCCAATGGGCAGCCCCTCCGGTACTTCAGCCACAAACGGCAGGTTGAGGAAGGTCGGGTCGTTGTCATTGAGATCCAGTAGGTTGACAAACACGGTTGTGCTCGCTGACGCACGCAGTGGACGTGCACCACCTAAAGAGGGCGCCAGAGGGATACATAAGACACACACACACACACACACACACCTCATATCTCATGGTCAAAGGAGTTTATTAGCCACAGTAAAAAGTTTCATGGTCAACATAAAACTTTAGGAACAAGGCATGAAGAAACTGGTTAATTGCTGAGAATTGAAAGCTCTGTACTGAGAATGATATAAAGCAATTTCATTTTGCTTCCTGGTGTGTTTCATGAGTCAGACAAATTTACACAGCAAAAAATAAAAAAATAAAAAAATGCAAATACAAGTGTAAACTGACATCCTAGCACACACACTACTCACGGTCCACAGCTGAGATGATGATGGCCCTCATGAGTGCGGCCTCTCTGGGGTTCGAGCTTTCCCTGTCCAGCGTTACTCCACTGGTGCGGATCTTCCCTGTGCTGCTGTTGATGGTGTAGAACGGGTTCTCTGGACTGATGCTGTACACCACTGTCCCATTTTCACCATCGTCAGGGTCCACTGCCAACACCTAGACATGGGACAGAAAAGAGAAACAACTTTTTTCCCCCCCTCTTTTCTTAATTGAGCCCGAACTTCTCCAAAAGACATGGTTCCTACACTCTGTATACAACAAAAGATAAACTGGGTGGTTTACTAAACAAGAACAACCTAAAGCTGTGGGGACAGGAATGATTTACGACAGAAAATGGTAGGAAAACAAAAGGAGGACAGAGGAAACAGAGCAGAGAAGGAATAAGAATAATAACAATTGTAATAGTATCACTAAAAAGAACCTCCTCATTCCAGCCCTTGAGCATCTTCATATCCAGCCCCTTCCAACTGTTGCAACACGTAAGTCAGCTGAAAGAAAAATGGTAACGTCTCTTTCTGTGACACAAAGTGGCGATGGGTGATGAATGCGTGAAGCCGGGAGCCCAGCTAAAACACTGGCTGATTTTTAAAGAGCTAATCAATTATTCAGTGCGCTGACTAAAAATGCTGGAAACTGGTTAATTGGTCATTAGAGGAACAAAGGTTTTGGAGGTATTTAATTATTAAGGGGACATGGTAGGCAGGCATCCCAGAGCCCCATTGATTAGCAACTGCACAGACAAAGGTAGGTGATACAGGATGTTGTGAAGTATCTGACTTGGGCCAGTTGAACTAATCAATTCTGGCCTGAGCAGAGCACATTAAAAGATGGTGAGCAAATATATTAGCCCTGTCTATTGAACTGGGCTGACAGCGGAGTGGCGGAGAAGAGAACATTGTTTTGAAAGGAGACATTAGAGGAGGCTCACTGTGTGCTGAATGTAAGCGGCTACAGCACTGATGGTGAGGTGCTCTGAGATTTGAGTGGGCTGATCCTTGCACTGGGCACAGCAGCCAAATTCACCGGCTCACTGGACACCTCCAGGAGAACTCAGCAGGTAGCCTCTTGTCACCATGGAAACACTAGCTAGGCCGGGGCTACATTGGGGCCAATTACAGGACTGTAAGCCTGGATGGTCAGATTTATTGAAAAATGGTCAGAGGGGCAACTGTGTATGTCCACTGAGCACAGAGAGTCACATACAGTATGCATCGCATTGCTACATGCACCATGAATGAACTCAACTGAGGAATAGCTACAAGAGAGCATGAAGAAGTGGAAAATGTAGCAGCGTTTTAGCAGTCCAAGGCTCGTGTCTTTCACTTTTTTTTCCTCACCGTTTCTCCATTCCACTCTCTCACTTTGCAAGACGGGTTCTCGCTGCCTTCTCTGCCTAGCAGCTGAATAATTTGCTATGCGTATGACTGCAGGCTACATTTTAATTAGCAGTCGGACTCCCTTAATTACACTCACTGATGCCTCTTTAATTAATGGACAATCAGGGCTTAATTAACAACAACACATTGCCAAAGACACCAGCAGGACAATGAGAGTTTGGGGTAATAGTGGAGTTTACTTTGTGATGACCTACGCAGTGATGGCAGTTTTTCCATCGACAGTCGTGTGTGTGTATGTGTGTAGATGCATCCGTTAACATGAACTGTTTTTTAGTTACAGAACAGGTTTAATGAGCTCCTCAATGAAGATGAACTTTCAGTCTATATATTTTGAATACTCCGCTCTGAAAGAAAAACATTTTAGTAAAACACACCTTTGTAAAAGATGGCTAATTCAAGTTTACAAAGTCTGATTAACCAAATTAAACTGCAGACTAAAATGAAGTATCAAAACAAAACAAAAAAAAAAACAACACTCGAGGATATGAGTGTTTTCTATCCACATCTGAGTACAAAAAGTAGAGGCCAACATTTATAAAAAGTAAATTTATAATGCTTTTAACACCATTCCTACAAGGATCATTATTCCAGTGTGCACATTTGTTATTTTTTAAATTACTAGTTACTATTAGTGCCCTCACATATTAAGCCAAGACAAGTTCAACAAGTTGGACTCACGGAGATAACATCAGTGTTTCTTGGACTCATCTCCACTACATTGGCATGGTATGGCTCGTCTCGCCACACCGGGGCATTGTCATTGATGTCCAGGATGGTGATGTTCACCTAAATTAAGCAGGAGAAAGGTAAAAATCGTACATAATTAATTACAGTAAAGCAATGTTATAAGCTTTTATAATGTCAAGTTTATGAAAGAAATACGGTCATAATGGTTAACCAAACAAAAAGTAACACAAAAAAGTTTATGCGTTATGGAATTAGTTGCCTTTGAAATGCGTTTAACCAAAATCCTACAGAGCAAATACACAGATGAAGCATTGGCACAGAAATTTGTTCAGATCAGATAAAAGATAGCTGTAAAGTTGTTACTGTGGCGATGCCAGTCTTCTGCTGTGGGCCCACCCCTCCATCCACAGCTCTGACTATCAGGATGTACTCTGACTTCAGCTCTCGGTCAAGCAAGGCTGTAGTGGTGATCTCTCCTAAAACACACATTGTACACGATGAAAATGAAAATTGCAAAGAATGCAAGAATCAGGACAGCAGAGTTGTATTACAGCATAGTTACGCATGTCTGTCAGAACTGAAGTGGAAAAACATGATTTTGTTTCTATTCTGCAGACAGTGATAGGGGTCCCAGTGTAGAGAAGACACAAGTCAGCTAGGAAACAGAAAAAGGCAGTGCATACACAGCTTTAGACAAGCAGAGGTCATTTTCAGTATAAATTCAAATCTGAAATAAAAAATTAAATCACATCTCAAAAAATCCGATCTCAGTAACAAGCACACAATACACACACTTGCACGAACGAACACACACATACAAACACACACACCTGAGCGTGAGTTGAGACGGAACTGAGAGGAGCCCTCCAGGGAGTAGATGAGTGAGGCCTGGCCAAACTCCCGCGAGGCGTCCAAATCAGTAGCATTCACAAGCAGCACAGTCGCCCCTGTGGAGAAGAACGCGAGAGCAAAGGGAGCGAGACATAAAAAAAGTTACAGCTCACAGAGTGGGGGGAAAGAAAGAAAAAGACTGAACTGAGAGACAGAGGCATCAGGAAAATATGTGAAGTCTACTATAAAAAGGAAAGACAGACAGAGACAGACAAGTTGCAGAGACAGACTGAAATGGCATGCACAGTGCTAATTTCTTTACCGCCCCCATCCACAGCTCAACTGATGGCATGGCAGTGAGTGGATTTATGGATTAGTGGATTATCAGCTTGTTTGGCACACCCCATACTTGGCACAAACCTGATCAATACCCAGGCAGGCAGGGAGATGAGAGGCTAGCCAGAGCGAGAGCCGCAGGGCTAGCCCTGAGCTCAGCCCTGCAGCCCAAGCCTTAGGCCTCTAGCTCAGGGCCAAACACTTTAGACATAGTCCCCTAAACCTCAGTCCTGGCCCAAGCCGCTCAGCCATGTGCTCCTTCAAATTTGGTCCGAGACATTAAAAGTGGCCAGCGTCTGCCGGAGCTCAGAAAGAGAGAGGGACGGTCAAATATCTCATTTCCCTCTAGCGACTGGAAACTAATCTATTGTCTGGGAAGAAAGAGTCTTCTGAATGCATGCATGAGAATGAATATAGCAAGCAGTGATTTGCCTTGAACAGTCAATATTCTACATTCTGACAAAACCTTTAAAAACATTATGCAAAAGCAAAACAAATAAAGGCCAGAGAACTGAAATAAAAAAAAAAAAAACAACAACATAAAAAATATACCCTCAAGAAAGCAGAGCTATTTGTTGACTATGGTAATAGAAAGGCAATTCAAGTAAGAGGTGACTGTATAAGCTTCATGTGGTGTTTGAGTTGTTTGGTGTGTGTACGTGCTGTGTTGGTTGTGCAGACAAGAAAATGAAGTCTAACAACTAAACTATAACCCCAAATGTATAAAGTGACTCACCAGCAATAATGTTCTCGGGGATTTTGACGATGTAGGATGGCTTGCTGAACTCGGGTGGGTTGTCATTTTCATCCTGGAGGAGGTATAAACATCAGCAGCAGCTCAAATCAACGTACTGAACAATGAGAAAATGCAAATGTTGCTTAAAAAAGACGAACTAAAAAGGGGTTTGAAGCTGTCAGTACACATTAGCTCTGAGATTAACATATTTGGGAATTAAGACACTAAGAAGCACAAAATGTTTTTAATAGTAAGTCAGTACTGGTAGCATCTCTCTGATGATGGCTATACAGCTGATTAAACCCAAATCTCCACAGACCACTTTGTTTTATGGCCTCAAACGGTGCATTTTAGTCATGCTGGTTTCTGTTTTTGTCATCTAATCAAGTACCATATTTAAACTTGCTATGTAAAGTAAATGCAATTAGCTAAACTTACTATTCTAACAGGCATTGCAGTTAATTGTATTCACTGCTTTAGAAGTGCAGAGAAAAAATTGGACAAGAAGTGGAATAATGCACAAGCTGAGGTAGATATTTAAAAAAAGAGAGACATTTGCAATGATAGGTGAGAAAATCATAATTATTACTACCATTATTTTAAACAAAGGGCAACCAACTCTCTAGCAAATTGACAGGGATAAATGACTACAGCGTGGAAGAGCCTTTACTGTCACATGAACTTTGCAAAAGCATTTAAATTTCTCACAACCTCCCCCTCATTGAATTCGACTATGTTTCACAGTAACACATCCAGTTGTGTGGTTATTCGCAGAAAGACTCCCGACCGTGTGAGCTGCTGAGAAATGCTAACACTTTAACAACAGTCACTGGCACCATTATCTATTTGGGCTCTGTGTTACACTGGTGAAAAGCATTGTGTGTGTGTGATGCTGCCAGCCACTGATAAACCCCTGTGGTGTGAGTCACGACACTGTGGAGGACAGAGGAAGAGAGAAGCAAAGAGACATAGAGGGAGTACTGAATTGTGCACATTTCTCTCCACTGGTTTCAGCATTCTTCTGCACAGTATTTCTCCCTCATGTAGGATGTGTATAGATACGCTTGGTGTTCCTGCGTATCAAAGAATATTCCAGCTGGATTCATTCATTCTATCCTGCCATTTCTTCTTCTATGAATATAAAGTTACATATATAATAGATGCCTATCGTGGGAAATGAGCTCAAGAGCTAGAAGAGACGCTGTTTACGAGTTTGAGTCGCTCATTATAATTTTACTGCTGTATTTGCAGTATCTAAGCAAAGGTCAGCATTCATGTTTTCTATACAAAAGTTAAGAGAAAAATAAAGAAGAAGACCCATAGAATATGAAAAAAATACACCTGACACATTTCTTTATACAGAATCCTCAAAATTTGGTCACTTTCTAGTATATATACAGTAAATCATACAATACAATAAATCCTCTCTGACCGAATCAAGATTTTCTTGAATGCTTTACAACTGAACTAAAGTGGTAAAGTCTGCAATACAGTACAGCAATATACACTCATTGACCACCTAACTACAGTCCCTCTTCAGTTATTAATAAAGCCACTAAAAAGTCTTCTCTGTGTATTAAAGTTACATTATACCATGGTCAGCGAGAATTCTTTGACTAACTGGCGTGCATTATTTTCGTGTATACGCACACGTAGTTTGGTGAGTTAAATCACTATTGTATCACGCTGCTCTGGGCGTCGCCATAGCAATGCGCAAATCAGCTGGCGCAGGTCAGCTGTGTCTTGACATGGGAATGAGAGAAACGCGCTAAACATGCATTTCGAGGTTAATTTTAATATTTTTGGCCGAAACAAAATCAAAGAGAATGCGCCAGTGTCATTTAATAACTGTACAACTAATGGAAATATTTACTTTGATTTTAGTGTGTAAATGCATAAATGCATTAAATGTAGTCATAAGAGTTGAGCAACATTTATTGATTTGTTACGGTTTTAATTGTATTAATATATTTCAATGTAGTTGTAACTAGAGCCAAAGGCCTGTTTTTGTATGTAGCCGTAGCCTACATTAATACAATCGATGCTATAATCGAGCATTCCATTTGTCTTGACAACGGTTACCTAGGATAAATATTGAGACTTGCATAAAATAGTCCCAAAAACTTAGGCATTTTTAGCAAGTGCTATTAATTAAATAAATATTTTGTGTGTTTGCTCGCTGTGTGGGACCATGGTATAAGCAGATTAAACAACTCGGAGCGGTGGATTACATGGTTTGAATGCACTTAGCGGAGTAACACGGAGTTTTCGACTCCGCTGCGTGCATTCAAACCATATAATGCATGGCTCCTCATTGTTTAATCCTTACTACTCAGATCACATCATGAAAATGAAATGTTCCTTTCCTGACTTAAAATGCTTCAGATGCAACTCCATGCTGTTGCTTCCTCTTTTATACCAAGCTCTCCCCTATCCCTGCAGTTGGAGTACACTAGCTCACTACTACTCTGCTCAAATACCGCAAAACTACTTTACGCTGCACACTGGAAAGTTGCAATATTGCAGAAATTCAGTCAGACAAACAAAAGAACAATGATGATACAGAAAGCCCCATCCTACAAGCTGACAGGACTGCTTGATGAGATTTGTTACGTATGCAACCCTGACTGTCTGAATTGGTGTTTTAGAAACTGTTAGTGGTACACTTCAGTTTCAGGGTGGAAATGCTCAACCATGGTGCTGACTTCTTCTATAGCTCATGATGTGTCTTCCAGCATATAAAAACACCGTATGGACATGTTAACAAGGTAAAAAACTAGATTTTTACTGGTTGAGGTTGTTAAATCCAAGTTAAGTTTAAGGCCCTGTTTACACATAGCAAAAACCGCAATATTTCAGTGCGTTTGGGTCTTGGGTTTACACGTAAATTAAGCTACAAGTCACCAAAAACGATCTTGTCTGAAAACTCCAGCCACAGTGGAGAGTTGGAAAAATCCCATCTTTACGTTTGCAAGGAGGAGACAGAGTTTGACGTCACAGTATGCGACAAAAGCGTCATCAGCGTCAAATGTGTACGACCCATGTTTACAGTTTGGCGACTGTGATAGAAAAGTCAATATTTTCAAGTATTTTACTTGTTTTGTACACCACATTTAGGAGTAGCTACACTTCTCTGTCGGTCCAAACGACCCTCGCGTCATTATCGTTGAAGCAACAGTAAGTAATTCGTGCCATTCACTGATGTGTTTTTTCTGAATTTCTGATTGGCTAGCATGGCTGTATGTTTCTCATTACACTGCCCCCTACAGGTTTCGCATGCTCATAGCAGCTCTTAACAAAGTGATTATACGGGTTTGTGAAAGCAAAGATTTTTTCAAAAAAGATCTGGTGTGAACAATGTTATTTCTGAAAACGTAGATCCATTCTTGCAAGTCTTGCAAGAGTTTGACTCTGAAGGACATTTGAATACAGTGGACTTATTGCTATGTACAAGAAACCACTCTGAGATTATACGAGCTTTGTAACATGGCATGTTATCCTGCTGAAGTAGCCATAGAAGATAATGGAATGGGCATGGTCGCTATCAACAACCAGGTAAGCTGTGGAATTAAAATGATGGTCAGTTGGTGTCAAGGGGTCCAACGCGCACACCATTATACCATGAGCAGCCTCCATTGTTGATACAAGGCAGGATGGATCCATGCTTTCATGTTGTTCATTCTAAACTCTAACCGTACCATCTGAATGTCATCAGACCAGGTAACGTTTTTTAATCTTTCATTATCCAATTTTGCTGAGTGGAAAGGTGTGGTCTTCTGCTGCTGCAGTCCATCTGCTTCAAGGCTTGATGTGTGTTTTCAGAGATGCTCTTCTGCACACCTTGGTTGTAATGAGGGGTTATTTGAGTTACTGTTGCCTTTCTATCAACTCAAACCACTCTGGCCTTTCTTCCCTGACATCTGCCATCAGCAAAGCATTTTCACCCAGAGAACCAATGCCTGCTCACAGGAGTTTTTTTTTTTTTTTCCTTTCTCTGTAAACACTAGAGATAGCTGTGCATAAAAATCCCAGCAGATGATCAGTTTCCAAAATACTCCAACTGGCCTGTCTTGCGTCATCAAGCATGCCACGTTCAAAGTCAAGCAAAACTCCTTTTTTCCTCATTCTGACACCTGGTTTGAACATCAGCAGATCCTCTTTACCATGAGTTCACGTCACGTTATTGACTGATTTGTTTGTTTCCTTTAACAAGCAGTTCATCCAATGCCTTCGATAATTTAGACATTAAATTATTTAAGGAACAAATAAAATCATACATGTGAACACTAATCAGGGCATGACATTCTGACATTCTTTCTACATGAGAAAAAGAGAAATGACACATTTACAGAAGACAAAAAGAAAAAGAAGTTCAATTGAGTGCCATCAGGCAGGGAAAATTGCAATATTGTGTCGAATTAGGAACCAGAACGTTGTGCAGAGTATCTTCTTTTTTAAAGCCTTTAATATATTAAAACATCTCTGATCCACTGTGAGTGTGAGTAGACAGCTGTGACTTTTTTCCCAGTGCCTTAAAATAAGACATTTAATGATAAGAGTGACAAAAGCAGTCAAACTGCAAGCTCAGATAGCTGCACAGACTGATAAAACTGCAAACAAAGCTGTAGCCCGACATGGATCAAAAGGTACTCGTAATAATTCAGACTGTGAGGAAATACTGAAACCCAATATGTAAGTTAGAGCCATATGAAACCATCTGACAACCTGTCACACACTAGATCAGCATTCTGATAAATATAAGGCAGTTTAGCATTCATTCAGTACACATGCTGTATGAATTTCTTGCTTAACTGTTTAAGAGCCACATAGGAGGAGAAATTCAATGAATAGATTTCTGAAAAAGTTAGGAGATCATCATGCCTTTGAACGTGAGGATCTTTGTCACATTGTCTGTCTGCTGCAGCACCTAGAGTGCTATCAAATACATTTTGAAACAATCCTAATACCTGGCGATACGTTAAAATGTGTGAATAAGAAATATTCTTAGCTTAGAAGAAAAGAGATTTCAACATACGCTTTTTTTTTGGTACACATTTTGTAGCCTCAAATACAGTTCCATTAGATTCCATTAGACACCACGCTGATGGTGAAAGGGACATAAGTGGTAGAATAGCTCTTTGTAGAGTATTAGCTGTAAATAAGCCACTCTTTTGGTTGTTTAGCAATTTGTATGCTTATTATTTCTCTTCTATTTACCAGATATGCAATAAGATTTATCTCTAACATTTTATGTTATACATATTCTTCCAGTGTCTCCTTTTCATTGAACCCTTTCATCCTGGAGGTCCCTGAACCTGAACCAGCCCTCTCTTATATCTGTATCTGCAAAATAAAAGTACCATTTGTTGTCTTTTTTCTGTTGCATCACATGTGGTTGCACTTTAGAGCATCAGTGCCACTAATACTCCGTTAGAGGAATTCTACTGAGTCTCTAACTTGTAGTTTAGATTAGGTGGAAGTGAAAACGTAACTTTAAAAAAATCTCACTCAGGCTTGGAGATGAGGACAAGGAGAGCAAAAATTTCTAAAGAGTCTCTCATCCATAAGATTCAAAGTTGCTCATTTTGGCCTGACAATTCTGCAACTGTTACTGACTAAATTTGGGAATCACTTGAGGTTTTGGGCTTAAAGTCTTTAATAAACTGTATGTACTTTCTTATCCATTTAATTTTTTTTAGTTTTTCTTGTAGACTCCACTGAATTTTTACATTAATGTTCCTTGTAGCTTCATACAGACATACTATTACAGTGGCAGAGAGTCATGGTACATGTGTGATATTTGTTATTCACACGAGGCTGGACAGTACATTTAGTGATGTATAATACATAATAACACATTAATAAACAAAAGATTAGATATATTAGCAGCTTATCAAAGTGTTGAAATGACTAATTGTTTATTTCATTGTCCATGTGTGATGATAATCCAAATACTACTGTATCAAGAGTAAAATAAAAATATTTGGACAGCTGTGATGGAGTTCAAGACTCAAGTGTGGTTGCTATATAACAAAGGATTTATCTACAGCTGATAAATTGTGACTTTGTGACAGCTCACCTGTGTGACGGGAAGAAAAGTACACAGTGTGACCTAAAGTTAGAGCCTGATCATCTTGTCTCCATGCCGACGACAACTTATAATTATAAGTAATTGAGTAACTGCAGTAGTTCCATGTGCATACAAGCATGCAATTCTCTGTGTCGTGCTGCTGTCTGATACTGCACATATTCAACAAACTCAGAGAATGACTCTTACAAAGAGCTGGACGAAACTTCGGCTCCTGTTAACGTTTTGACAAACGTTAACAGCCGTTTTATATTTCACAATCTGACTTGTTAAACTCTATTTTTAAAGATATTTCAGAAAGGTGTATTTTGTGCTCTCTGTGAATATGTGCTTCGACCAACATTGGTGCTGAAATGAGGAAAAAGCTAAATCACTTCACACAACTCGAAGCACATCACTTGCGTGTGCTTTCCTGTTGTATAAATGCATGCAGTTTAGGCTTGTGCAGACGTTAAAGTGATATAGAACTCTTTCTAGGTCCAATCTAGCAAGACTGATGCTGTGACTTTTCTGGAAAAGTGAGCAAGTGTTCATTCAGACATTAAGCCCACATGTTTAGAAGCAGTAAGATTAACAAGAGAGGAGTGCATTTCTGAAAGGGGATGTTGTAACTACATACAGTCAAGTGTGGTTGTCCATCATTATCCCATCAGCTGAACATGATGAATAATGATAAGAAATGGTAAAAGGACACTTGCTCTGCTGGCTGTGGAAGAAGGTCATACTAACCTCTCTTTACCCTGTCTCTTTAGGTTTTGTTTCTAAATGCATTTAACCAACCTCTGATCCATGTCAGTGCCATTATAGATCAACTAACGGTTTGAACTTCTTTCCTTCCTTCCCACCGATGATAGTGTACAATCACTAAGAACTTTATCACTTTAAAAGTTAAAGCAAAACTTATGTAAAGTTGCTATATGTAAAAACGAATGTACAGAGCAAGATACAACAGTAGGGGCGTGAGGTCAAATTGATTTTCATCTGTGAGAATAAACAGAGTATCAGGTGATAGAAATGTTGCTCGCTGCTTGAATAAAAATACACACTGCTCAGGTTTATATTTGACTGATGTATGTGTGTAGGTGGGAAATGTGCTGTAAATGACACAGATGAAAACTAAAGCTCTGTGTCTGACGTTACTGACTCACATCTAGAAGGAAGCACTGCATTTTAAAATGTATTCCAATACAATTTCTAAGTACCTGCTAAAATCAATCAAACGATTTAACTGCAGCTGATAAACTGTGACTCTGTGTGACAGCTCACCTGTCTGAGGTAAACAAAAGTACACAGCGTTATTTATTGCTAGAACCTGATCAATTTTGCTTCCATGTCGAAGGTAATTTATAAATATAAGTCTTTAATAAGTATTATGCCACATGCATGAATGTGCACAACTCTCCTGCTTTGGAGATGCTCATATGGATCCTGCTGCTGACTGATGCTGCAGGTTTTCGAAATGTGAAAATGTAACACAGAGTGAATGAGGCGAAATTCACAAGTTTGTATGTGATCCTCTGTCAACTAAAGGCATGCAAACTAAGGCTTTGGTACTAGTGATGTCTATAGATTAATGTCGGTGTCGTTTGCTTGAGCAGATGGTGAAAAGAGAGAAAACAGGTATCTTGTGTCAAAAGTGTGAGAGCTGCCATCCTGGCATGTCAGTGTTTTAAACTGCAATCCTGCCACTAATCCTAATTTTATTAAACTAATTCTGTATTTTGTAACATATTTTGCTGCTTATGTCTGTTACAGGGTTCATACTTACAATGACCTCAACTGCGACAAGCACGGTGCTGTTGAGGGCTGGATTTCCTCCATCTTTTGCCATCACTGTCAGATAGATCATCCCATTGGGAACCTTCTCGTAGTCCAGAGGCCTGGACACACTGATCACTGGTGGGAGGAGGGAGGGAGAGAGAAGGTGAAGAATTACCCGGCATGTAGCAACCTCCCGGCTTAGCAAAACTGTCGCAAACAAAAATTCAAAACGACACAAGCATAAATAGATGTAGACATTTTAAAATGTGATTTTAGCTAACAACTTATTTTAAAGTAGTATGACTGTGGCCTCCTTAAGGTGAGTGTACCTGCATAGCCCTCCACCATGATGATGCTGAAGTAATCAGGGAAGGCCGAAGCTGAAGTGATGGTGTATGTCAGGAAGTTGTTGGGAGGAGAATCCTCATCCGTAGCCTGCGGGGGGGCGGACAGAAATGAGAGATTGTAAGATGGGAGTGCCTTTAACATATGCCTCAGTGACAGTCAAAATCCCACAGAGAGAAGAAGTTTTTGAGTGAGTGAGACAAAAAGAGAAAAAGACAGCATAACAGGACAGATGCTGCTGTAGACAGTGCAAATGCCTATATGTGTAAGTTTGCGCAGCATGGATGTGTGTGTGAGTCTGTGCATATGTGTGCAGCCAGGAAGCTGTCAGTCAGTGGTGGCATGTTACTGGACAGATTAAAGCTGATGCTGGCTATTAGCGGTGCAGGCATCAATACTGGATGAACACCAACCGAGAGCAGACAAGCCAAACAGGCAGAGGACAGATGAAACCATACTTTGCAGGCCTAATCCACAACAACATCAACAACAATGACACCCCCTCATTATTCTCCAGTTGGCAGGAACTTAAACAAGAGTCCTCCGGCTGTGAGGAGAGTCTACTGGGCCTCACTGGCATCATTAGAGGCTGGACAGGTTGTCAAAAACACTCACTTGTATCTCTTCATAACACTCAAATCTCTACTCTTTGATTTAATGCCAGAGTGTTGAATAAGCAATACCTTTCTTCCCCCACAACTTCCTAAGCTGCGGCTTCTCTTCCACACTGTCTTCCTATATCAAATTTGAACAAACAGTTTCACATTAGACAGTCGTTTACCACTCAAAGGTAAGGGGAGTTGGGGGCAGCAAATCAAATAGCTGAGTGGCGATAGAAGCGAAGGAATAGGAAGTGAAGAGAAAATGAAAAAAGATTTAGGTTTTAGAAAGCATAAGCACTGTAGTAGGAGGCACAAACCTGCGAGGCAAGAAACAAACAGCAGTAAAGCCTCTTGATGCTTTGTCTCTCAACACATCCTCTCCTTCCATATATTTCTTTCCTCCTTCTCTTCTGGAGTAGTGTGCATGTGCATTTACGTGTTAGCGTACAGTAAGTTCCAGGGAAAAAGCTGACACACACAATTGTGCAACTGGCTTCCCTCTTCTTCTTGGGAGGTGTATTAATATCAGCAACGTTTAAGGTTAGCTCAGACTAATCACACACAGCGAGCCAAGCGTTGAGCCCAGCCATCAACTCTGCTCTCACAATGTAAACGCAAGCTGCCGGTGTACAGTGGCAGGCCAAGGCACAAGAGATGTAATAGTCTTTCTCTTCTGGGCGCAATCAAAGCAAACGCTGAGCCATTAGTTACCATTGTGCCGGCGTACCTCTGCCTTTTGTGTGGCAGTGACTGATGGCCATAACACCAGGCTGACCTGTTCCTCTTGGATACAGTGAACACAAACACATAACTGTAATATAGTAGCACAGAGGAAACAAAGAAGAAACAAAAGGAGGGCACCAGAATCAAAGGCTTGCAAGTCTGATGGGATTTAATTTAGATCCTTTGTTCCAGGTGTAATTTTATATTTATGTGAACATACAGCATCATTGTTGGTATCTTAGTGGGAGCCACTGTGATTCAGAGCTCAGTGAAAGCGATAAAGGAATAATTTAAGTTTAAACAAATTACAAATTTTTATACATGATTTTTTTTTTTCATCTTGCAATGTAATTTGTTTATTGCACCCAAACAACTGTTGCTATGCAGCACTGCAATACCATTATGATTGGTAGTTTTGGTTTGGAGTGTTAATAATTAAAACCTGTGATGGTCACAGGTGTGTGTTTATAGGGTATTTTACAGCCACTAAAAAGAAGACAATTTTACGATCCTCTCTAGTAACAAGAGTGTAATTTTGGGCACATGTGCACTTTAAATCTCTATAGCCTGCTTTTTTTTTGTTGTTGTTCGTGTGGGAATGTATTTCTTTAACCTTACAAGCACGTTTGAAATTACGCCTCACCCTGATGCGTGCCACCGGCTGGACAGCCTGTTCATTCTCTCTCAGCGAGCCCACATACGTCTCCTTCTGGAAGAGTGGTGCGTTGTCGTTGACATCCAGTATGTTGACACGGATCCTGCCTGTGGTCTCCTCCCCGCCGCCGTCCCTCGCCAGCACGGTCAGCGTAAAGCGACGCATTAACTCATAGTCCAGACTGGCCCGCAGGATGACCCACCCTGTCTCATCGTCCAGTGAAAACCTTCAAGAGAAAAACAGGAAAAAAATCCATCCATTCTTCCCTTAGCTATATGCACTTTATCGGGTCATTGGGGACTGGAGCCTAACTCAGCTGACATACATCAACAGGGAAAACATGGCAAGTCCAAACAGAAAAGCTCTGCCAACCATGAGTAAAAATAGAAGCAGATTTGTTTTTCTTGTTAAGATGTATATTATTGCCAGAATATAACACAAACTTGTTTCATTTCTCAAGATCTATTTTTCATGCTAGGTAAACTGGTGTGATCGTACATAATAATGCCATATTAACGTGTTATGTCACGATAACATCAAATCAAAAACACTGTGAGTACTGGTCAGATGTGAGCGCCAACTTCTGGGCTTGTGAAATGCAGTTTCAAAAACTGCATTTCCTCAAATGGCCACTTGAGGCTCACTCCAAAAGTGAGTCAATCTCCATTGACCCCCAAATTAAAATATAAAAACTTTACAGCAGCAATAAATACGTGTACAACCTGGTACAAAAAAACTGTTTTGATCTCTATAGGGTTTCTCTTTTTGACACACCTTTACAAGCGAGAATTCACTTGTTCAAATTATATTAAGGCTTAAAGTTATGTGCATAGTTATGTTTTGCTTTGTTTTTGAAATGTAATGAGGCTCCTTGTTTGAGCAAATTAGGCTTTTTATGTTGTAACAATACTATACAGAAAAAAAGTTAAACATAATGTTCTCATTATGTTCAACTTTTGTTGAAAGAAGCATCTTTTACATGTTTTTTTAATCATGTCTAGAATGTTGGAAACTTTTCCTAACAAAAGCAAAATGGCAAAAACAAAAACACACCAAAATGATGCTCAGTGAGAGGAACAGACAAACTAATACTTACTTGGAAGCCACACTAATTGTGTTCTTTTGATACACTGAAGATAATTAATGAATGGTTTATGTGAATGTGTGTTTTTCTTGGTGTGCAAATCTGTATTTGCGGCCTGAAGAGAGCAGGCGTTAAGATAAGCGCCAGACATTGTTGTAGCTCAGCTGTCTCTGGCGAGGCTGTGTGCCAGGAACACTGTGGTAAAATTGTTAACAAGGGACCAAATAAATGAAAAATTTATGTGGTTGTGTGTTTTTGTGGACTGTTTTTTTGAGTTTGCATGGGAATGTGAGTGGCTATGGCTTACTGGTCTGGCTCGTCACTGAAGTAGTAGCGCACAATCCCAAAAGTGCCTGCATCTCCGTCTGTAGCCTAGACAGAAAAGACAGGGGAGAAAAAAAAGGTTTACATTTCAAATCATGTTTACTTCCATGTTAAATATTATTACAATATTAGTTTTGATTCTCATCCCAACTTTGCATGTTGTTTGTCACCTGCTTAAGGCTCTCCAGGACCAATTGGCAAAACTGTTCTTACAAATTATCTATTGCACAGAAACCTAATGGGGAAAAGTTACAACAGACAAAATGTGCAAGGTACAAAAGTCTGTGAAGTACAAAAATGAATTGTAATTTAAGAAAAAACACACACAGATCTTTACAGGATATTTAGTTTGTTTCTTTCCTGTCATTGATAATATGATTGTTAAGATGTTTTTACTCTGCATACATTTGTGCTTCTGTGTGTCGCTGCATAACCTCCTCTTTCATGTGCGTTTTTGCTCAGTTTCCCAAATTTCTCACCCTAGCAGCTGTCTATGACTGTCTGTGTAACATGAAAACTGCACTTCACTCTCTGGAGGTGTTGATTGGATAAAATCTGATGGGAGAAGAGATAAATCTTTCTCATCCGCATGACCCACCAGTGCCTTAAAAGCAGCAACAACTGCTGTCATATGTTGTGCGGATAAAAGGGGGGAGTCAAAAAAACCTGTAAGAAGAGCAGCACTTTCAGGAATCTTGCACTTTATGAAATGCCACATTAACACGATCTGTCTTTGCAAACGCGCGCACGTATGTGTACGCATGCACTGGTGCATACACACGGGGTGTTGTGTTGGCGCTGATGGATCGCGGCTGGAGAGGGTGTTGTAATAGAGTTTCACTTCAGTGGCTCTGCAGTCAGTTGAAGGGCCAAACCCGAACGTGTCTGCAGTCTGCTCTGTTAACCACAATGCTGGTCACTGTGATTCAGTGATGTCCCGATACCGACCTTATTATGTGGGCTTGTGCGTGTGTGTATGTGTGTGTAAGTGTGTAGAGATTATGCTTTTTTTGACATGGCTGTGACTTACACACTACAGTGAGTCTGTGTATACATAGGTGCAGAGTGATACCAGGGTGTACGCTTAAGCGAAAGGGTCAAAATGTGTGTTAGTTGAAGCTAAACTCTCCGAATGTGGATGCATGGTTGCACATTTGAGTGTGCTAAGGAATACCCGTACCTTTTAAACCTATGACGTCTCTCGTAAATGGAACAACAGCTGCTGCTATCAATGTGTTTTTTCCACACCCTTCTAAAATTTACACCATGCTTTCAGCTCTGGCTCGTATTTCCACAGGATTTTCTACCACATTGTCGTGGATGGCAAATCGATGCTCCATTTTGAATGTTGAAATGGCCCTCGCTTTGTTGTCAAGTGCATCGAAGCACATCCTGCTGTACAAGTAGAGAATGAGACGCTAAATACATATGAGGTGTTTGGAACTCCGGTCAGGTTCTTATATTAACCTTTGAGTTTTCATCTGTTGTGTCTCGGTGACCTCATCAATAAATGCCACTCAGCTGCTTCTCACCATCTCGCCAATTTTTTGCATTCCAACCCTCCCCTCCTCCCTTCTCCTTTATCTCTCCTTTTTCCTTCTGTCTTTGCCTCTCTTTCCTCCCTGCATCTGAACTCCGCCTTCATCTCCTCTGTCTCCCCTCTCCTCTACATATCTCTCTTAGCACCCTCCCCTCCCCCCCCTTCCTTTTGCTCCTAGGTGAGTGACAGGCCCATAAGTGCTCCAATGATAGCGATTGGGGTGTTAGCGTGACAGCTCTTGAGGCAGTGACAGGAGCCCGGCTCAGCCTGGGAGCTGCTGCTGCTGCTGCTGCTGCTTCTGCCTCTTCGGCCTAGTCCCTCTCACCACGACGACAGACAGAGAGGGACAGAGCAAGGGATGGATGGAGAGAAATAAAGAGAAAAAGATGATAGCCATCTCCCCCCCCCCCAATCATTCACCGACCTGCTCCCTTTCTCCCGCCAAACAATCACCATGACAGTATGGTCCAGTCACTTTGCCAACTGCTTGCCAAAGACTTTCAACTTTAGACACAGAAGACCCACAGCAGATGGATAGTAGAGATTGGCTTGTGAAGGGATTTGCTGTCACTTAACACCACAGGCCTAAATCTTTGACATGAGGGTATTATGCATTTGTCCCCTGTCGCCGTGGTGGCTTTAACTTTTTTTTTTTTTTTTTTCAGTTGGGGAATTGGAGGTGATGGAAAAGTTGGCGAGGTGGGATGCACAGGGAGAAAGTGAGTGTAAGATTTAATGAGGAAAGAAATGACATGGAAATAAAGCTGGGCAATGTGCCTAACTAATGTGCTTAAAACCCTCACTGACAATTACAACAAGCATTTAAAGTGCACTGATGGTTCACATAGATAAATAGGTTTCATGCTAATGGATTCATAAAACATCCTTTTTTAGGGACCCTCCAAAAATAACTGAGTTACAAAAACTAAGACCAAATTTGGAGGAGGCGCAATGCTGTAAATAACTGCCAATGAGTACAAAATCCTGTGGGTTTACGGTTTTGTTCTACTACTGTCAGAGATGACACAATGGCAGCAGAGATAAATTCTGGGCCTACACTGTAGTGATGAAAATCTCCCATGAAAATCTCCCCTGTGCTAAGGAGTGGGGCACTGAGCTATCAGAGTCAGCGTCCTGATCAAAATCCAAACTAAGTTGTTACGAAGTTCTTGCACAAAGAGTTAGTGTGCTGCTGATTGCCAATATAAACTCTGCAAACCTTAGGGTCCTCAGGCAGTAACTACAAAAGAGAAATTAGTTCTCAGTTGACCAGTTTGGTTAAATGATGTGTTTCTTCCCATCAGAGAGGCGAAGCCAGCAGGCAAACAAAGCTGTGTGTGTGTGTGTGTGTGTGTGTGTGTGTGTGTGTGTATGTATGTACCTGTGTATATTGTAATGTGTATGTGTGGCTGCAAATGTTGGTGAACATGTGAGAAGGAAACACATGGACAGAGATGCATAGTGTTTCCAGGTTCATTCAGTTTTGAGGTAAAAATGCACCCAAAACAGTTACAGTATAAACACCTATTATTACACTCAATTGCTTTCAAGAGAAAGTGGAAATGAGAGCTTCTCCTGAAGGGTGACAGAACCACAGAGGTAGGAAGACAGTGTGTCTGTGTGCATATGTGTATAAGCTGGGGTTGGGATGGATGAGGGTACAGCAGCAGATTATCAGTCCAGCTATCTCATGGACAGCAAGGGAGGTTAAAGCTGCAGAGGCTTTTCTATCTTGAGTGAGCTGGAATTTGAATTGATTGGCTCCTAAAATTGCTTTTTCTGCAGGAGCTTTGAGAAGCATGGAAAAGGAAACCAATTACTGGCTGTCAAAGCATGCTGTCAAAATAGAGATGACCCCCAGTCCAAACACAGACAACCCCCTCTGTCTCTGTGTTGCACACCTAAACACAATCATAAAAGAATAGATATCAAACACAGACCCACAAAAGCACGCAGACACTACAGTGAAGATGTCCATTTTCTGACAGTCACTGTGGGGGAGACAATGATAAAGACACGGTTGTCAGGGTATCTTCCTCAGCTTGGGTTCCTCAGCTCTGGCTTGTTCTTCTCATGTGGGCTCCTCTGTTTCACTTTCTCCTTATCCATGACAAGATCATAGATCAGCCTTGACAAATACTATACAAGTGGGATACAGACTAGAGAGCAGTTATATTTATACAAGCAGCCCTTTGCGTTTGCTTATTGTGCTGCATATGTGTCATAGACACAAAAAGCAGAATCACATGACAGATTGCATGCTGTGTACTTCAACATTCTAGACACTACCTCAGCAAAATTAAGTGCTGGTGGATCAGCAGTGTGGACATTTGCAGCTCCTGTGCACTCACAGGTATGGGAACAAACAATTAAACTTCAGAGTGAGATAAGTGTTACACAATTTACTCTAGTACATAATTTTCTTTCGAATTTCTTGAGATCTGCTAAAATCCTGAATTACAGAAAAAAAGACAAGGAAAACAGAATTGTTGTGGACTGAATTATAGGTTCAAACTATACAGATATGCCCTTCTGTCATTTAAAGTCTCTCTCCAGTTAATGATTTAACCTCTAAAAACTCATCTTCATGTTTCAAAACTACATATTTTCCATGAAAATAATCCCTTAAAATAGCTTAGCTATAACCCTACACCGCTGCTTCCTCTAGAATGTGCAGATCTATGAAATCTTCATCACTTCCTCCACCCACTGCACTACTTGCTGCAGGTCAAACACACCAGCTCACCTACGCCTTCTCTCTAAAACTGTAAATCTACTCGGCTCAATCTACACAATGGCAAGTTGGAATGTTGGACTGATTTAACCGTACACATTTAAAACGGAAGCAGATTTTGGAGAAGAATAATGATGCAGAAAGCCCCACCCTGCAAGACTGGTTCAAATCTGTGTTTTTGAGACTGTCGTCTGTACACTGCAGTTTCAAGGTGGAAACGTTCACCCATACTGTTGTCTTCTCACAAATAAAAAAACATCACAAGGCTGTTTTTCACCGGAGGTAGTTGTACATCGCTTCTGGTTGCTGCTATTATTCCTTTTTGTCCCTGCTGCTACTGTAGAGGTCCATTGTATACTATGTGGGGCTTTATCAATGACCAATGCTGCAGAGCAAGACAGTCTGGAAAATGCACAGAAACTCTGATACCATGTTCAGACTTTTCAGACATTTCTTCAATTATTAGTCACATATCCCGAACAGCTACTCAGTCTGCACTCCTGTGACTGAACTAATGAGTGAATTTATGCATTATCCTAATATTCACATGAAGCCGTGCGGTAAGACACAAACCTCTACAGCAGTGATGAAGTGGAATCTCCCTCACCTACTTGGATTGAATGAGGACCAACCGCATCTCTCTCCAGTCCCCCAGCTGTGACCTAGAGCACCTGCTTGGGGTTGATGGGAGCCATGTGTGTTTTTACTGCGGACACTTTAGCGTAATGATGATGGTGAGTGTACATTTACGACTGCTTTATTTCTCTAAACCAT